CCTATGCATCCAAGTTCATTTGAACCTTCTATCTAAAGCTTTTTCCCAAGTTGGCTTACTGTTTAAATGTAATTTAAGCTTGCATAATTTTGCAAGATGTGCATTGATTTCTATGCTTTTAGATTTTTCATTCAGCACGAATCTTCACTGGCCAGATGAAAGAGTAGGTCCTATGCATTGGAGTTCATCCAAATAATCACCCTGCATATTTTTGTCTACAATTTCGTGTTTAAGCTATTATTATTAATAATATTAAACATGCAACATGTGGGTTTTTCTGCTTTCCATATACTAGCATGTTTGGGTTAGGTTAAAATAAGTTAACAGTACTTTTTGAGAAAACTTTTTTGAATACCTAAATTTGTTATTATTTCGAAGTCTTACTTTGCTATCAACATGAGTAAATTATTTTGATTTTGATCAATAACTGAATTTATTAATTTGAACTTATTCTTCTCCAAGATTAAATTACTTAAGCTTATTCAAGCATGTTATGCAACCATGGTCAGAAATCTGAAGTTAATTTATAATCTGTTCAGGGATGGAGGTATGAAAGGACTGTTTACAGGTGTTGGTCCCCGTGTTGGCCGTGCTGGTCCTTCCGTAGGGATCGTGATTTCATTTTACGAAGTCGTGAAGTACATCCTACATCATCAGTACGCTACTTAGTGAAATGTGACGAGTTGCTGACTTTATATTGACATTTTTCCTTCTTCGGAAGGTCATAGTTGCTACACGAGGCCACCTTTATTCTGGAGGAAGCAGTTTGGTAATTCTGATGTGGATATAGATGAACAGTTTTGAAATGGTAGTCTGTCGTAGCCATTTGCACATGGTTGGAAATAATTTATCTCATTTATTTTTCTGACCCAAAGTTTGTTGGTTTAGTTACCTGTAACTCGGGATTCAAATCGAGAAGAGATTTTGGAAAATTTTGAATCGAGATGTTCGTCGGTTTAGTTACCTGTAACTCAGTATTTAAATCAAGGAGATTTTGGAGAATTTTGGTAATTTTGGTGACCAATTTTTGCTGAGTAGATCTCAGTTTAGTTGATGCATCTTTGCAGTTCTTGCAATCGAATTTATAGGATGTTTTCCAGTGTAACTGATTCTCCTATCTGCTGTATCGGCTGTGTGTTAGTGTAACCTATATCCATGTTCTAAAAGGCGCGAAAATGCGCCGCCTAGGCACGACACGGATCGAAAATGCGTCGAATTCTGGAAATGCGCGAAAAATGCGTTTTCCATCTAAAAGGCGCGCCCAGCAGGCCTAATGCGCGCATTATTCCGCCTAATCTTTTTTTTTTTTATCTATTTTTTTATGATATATTAAAAAATATATTTTTTTATATAAAAATATATTTAATGTCTTAAAAATACGAAACGCATTGTGACGTTTATTCTTTGCATTGACACGCCTAAACTTGTGATTCTTGATTCTCGGCCTGACGCATCGCAACGCATTATGCATTTTAGAACACTGACCTATATGGATTATCCAACTCTTAGTGATTCATTTGTACTCGTTTGGTGGGGTGAATTATAGAGAATATTGCATAGTATGAAGAAGAGGTTATAATTTAGTCTAAAGAACAATACTGCGGGTCTTATCCAATTTCTTGATTGCCTGATAATTTTAAAAAATTAAGACCATAAATTAATATATATAATAAAAATGAGAGAAAATTGGAAAGAAGGTTTCCAAACATGCTTCTTGATTCTCAAACTTTTTACAATAGCATTTTGATTTTTTGGACTCTTACCCATTTGAAAATTATTGTTATATATTTTTATGCTAGTAATATTTATCATAATGCTAAAAATTTGGATCAAATTTGTTTCATTTTAAAATTATAAGCTATTTTTTGACTAAATAATAATGAAATTACTTGTGCGGAAAGAGGAAAGCTCATCTTATTTAAACTAAAAAATAGGGGTGTTATTGATATTAAAACTAAGAAAAAAGATAATTTTAAAATGTGAAAATTGGATACTATGTTCCTGTTTGGTTGGAATTAAAATTTAAATTTTTATCCAAATTAATTTTTTAACCACATATTTTATTAATTTTTATTAA